TCTTCTCTGCACTCTTTCTAGAATCTCAACATCTTTTTACATCATGGCAACCAAGATTTATAGATTCTAGGCCCTGTCCTTTGTATCTTCTAATAACGCTATCAGACAATATAACACCTAGATGCTTTTTTCAGACATAAAAAGATGTGATTAAAAATATATATTAAAAATAAGGATTGAAGATAAGGGAGCATACTGGATGCCCAGAATTCACAAACATTTTATTATTTAGAACTAGATTAAAAGGGAAATATAAAACACCAAATCTTCTAGATCACCTTTCTCTGAAGAAACTAATTTCCTGAGAGGAATAACTCAACCTATGAACTCCTGGCCTTGTGCTTTTAATGTGGGGGAAATGATTTTGACCATTAGAATTGCCAGGTGGAGATCACAGACACAAAATGTGTGAGGAAGGGAGCCCCGAGTCATAATGAAATCTTATAAGTGTGTAATTCTCAACTCACAGTGCATTACATGAAGCTTAAGTCATGTCATTTTTATTTCAACTGCAAATTACTGCACAGAATTTTCTCTGCTTAACATGACAATATTAACCTTCCTCCTTTCTTTAAGGTCATTGAAGTGAGAGCAAAGAAAAGAACTGGTGAGCAGAATTTCATATCCTGCATAAGGAAAGCCTTAGATAAGCATTATGGTGACAGAACAGTGGGAATGGGAGGTACCTTCGTTATCCAGAAAGGAAATGCAAAAATTCATATTATGGTAAGTCAGTTGCAAGAAGATTTTCCTTTTCTTTTTTTTAATTTGGAAGCATGAGTTACACAACAAGAAGAAAAAAAAAGAGTAAGGTCTATAAACATTACAGAGTAAAGTCTTTCTATAACATTTGCAACTTGCTTTTTTATGGTGCACTATCAAGTAGATGTGCAATGGCTCAGCGGTTAAAGATGCTGAACTTGTCAGCTGGAGATCTGACAGGTCAAGTTCGAGACCCAAACTCTGTGCAACAGGGTTAATTCCCATTACTTGCTCACCCATCAGGTCAAAGGCATACAAATGCAAATATATAAATAGATGCCACTTCGGTGGGAAGGTAACAGTATTCTGTTTGCCTTTGGTGCATAACCATTCTGGCCACATGACCATGAAAAATGTCTTTGGACAGTGCTGGCTCCCTTAATCCATGAACACAACCCTTGATTGGCAGGATTTTCCCAAGATTTCAGATGGGTCTTTCTCATTTAAATTGGGGGAAGCCAGACTACCAAATTTTTGTGTTTAAAACAGCCAATTAAGTGCTCATTGAGCTACTTAATTATGGCCCCAATTTTAATGGAGCGTTCAAATTTTAATTGTCTGTGCTGGGTGGATAATTTTCTGGCTTATGTTTCAAAAGAAATTGAGATACTACCAGAGGTGCAGAATTGCATCAAAGCAAAACTTGTGTCGTGTTCTATATGGAGAAGAGGGAAACAGACTCTGATGACTTCGAGTTCCTGTCCTTTTCTTCAAATACGGCCACTTGTTTTGTTTTTTAATTACAGCCTTCTGAATTTTCTGCCTGCCCTTTGGAAACAGATGAGAAAGTGAACAATTGGCTGAAGTTTTTTGAAATGACAGCTCCGCTCATTTGCCAGCCTGTGATTGTTTCTCAAGATCCAGTAAGTAAATTCTATTGCTGTTTTCTCAAGTGAGATCCTGACTTACTGGCCTGGATGCAAAATGGTCATTATTTTAAACAATCATCCACTCCTCTTGCTCTAAGTGCCATAACATGCACCAAAGAATTGGGAAAATATCCAGCGAGAGCCAGTTTGGTGGTGTGGTTAAGGTGCTGGCTTAGAAACCAGGAGATTGTGAGTTCTAGTTCCACCTTAGGCATGAACGCTGGCTGGGTGACCTTGGGCCAATGTTTCTCTCAGTCCAACCCACCTCACAGGATTGCGGTTGTGACAAAAATAGGAGGAGGATGGCATGTTATGCATGTTCCCCACCTTGAATACCTGCATTGATAAAGCTTTGTTATGTTTGCTATAACACATCTCACCCAAAATACACAAATTTTCCTCATTTAGCTACCACTATAGAGAGTGGCAATTTGGTTGCTAAGCAACCAAGGCAAAGCAGTCACTGTGAAGCCATGATCGTACTTATGGTCTTGCTGCAGCTTTCCTTTGCTTACAGACCTGTGAATCTTGTCAAAAAGTTACCTTTTAATCACTGCCATAACTGAAGAGTAACTAAATGAGACTGTTGCTAAATAAGGACTACCTATGTTGACAAAATAACACAAAATAGCACATTGTATGTGATGTATCTGAGCTGGAGGAAACGTTTGCTGCTTGGGGCCAGCCCCACAGACAGGAATTTATGGGTTCTTGGCTTTTTCCCAGGGTTTTGATCTGCGTGTAGAGCACACCCACTGCTTCAGCCATCACGGTGAAGGAGGCCACTACCACATGGACACAACGCCAGAGAATGTAGAATATCTGGGGTATTTTGTACCCGCTGAGTTCCTCTTTCGGATCGACAGACCAAAGGAGACACATATGGTGGGTCGGGATTAAAGTCGAACCCACCCAGGAAGCTGATGTTAATTAAGAAGCAGAAAATCAAGGGATAACTAAATTTGCTTTTCACGGAGATCAACAAATGTCTAATCGCAACCTGAATGTATTATTTGTTTGGCACTTAAAAATAAAATATGGCAAAATTGATTTTTTTCAGATTGGAAATGAAGCATATTCTGGCTGATTGCACAGCAAAACTAGAAGCCCAATTTTTACTTAAATATTTACATTTTAGATCATTCTGTCCTTAGCATCTAGATTTCAGCTGCAGTCTGGGAGGGAATTCTATGCCTATCCCAAGATTGCTGAACTACAATTTCTGTCATCTGTCCCTGGATTACATCAGAGCAAGGGGTCTTCAAACTTAGCAAGTTTAAGACTTGTGGACTTCAACTCCCAGAATTCCTGAGCTAATATGACTGGAGGAGGAATTCTGGGAGTTGAAGTCCACAAGTCTTAAAGCTGTCAAGTTTGAAGATCCCTGCATCAGAGAAAGGAAACATTCAATTAGCATAGCCTTCAATGGACAAAGGGGTTAATTGTGTAAGTTGGCCCTCCTGCTCTCTGCTGCATCTTTGTGGCAGAGAGGCAAAACATGTGAGGGCCAAGATCCTTCTCCCTTGTTCAGGAGAACTCAGACTTTAGTCACCTATATTAATCAGAATAGAACTGAAAGGGATCTTGGAGGTCTTCTAGTCCAACCCCCTGCTCAAGCAGGAGACCCTGGCCTATACCATTTCAGAAAAGTGCCTGTCCACTTAAAAACCTCCAGTGATGAATTTCTGAAGGCAAGTTGTTCCACTGGTTAATTGCTCTCAGGAAGTTTCTCCTTAATTCCAGGTTGCTTATCTGCTTGATTTGTTTCCATCTATTGTTTCTTGTCTTGCCTTCTGATACTTTGGAAAATAAGTTGACCCTCTCATCTTTGTGGCAGCCCCTGAAATACTGGGATAGTGCTATCGTGTCAACCCTAGTCCTTCTTTTCTCTAGACTGACCCTACCCAAATCCTACAATCATTCATCGTATGTTTTAATCTTCAAGCCTTTAATCATCTTAGTTGGTCTGTCACTTTTTCCTGAGTCTCAACATTATTTTTGTAATGATGTGACCAAAACTGGATACAGTATTTCAGTTGTGGTATTACTAAGGACTTATAAAGCGCTACTAATACTTCACATAATTTTGATTCTATGCCTTTGTTTATACAACCAAAGATAGTATTATCTTCTTTGGCAGCGGCTGCGCATTGCTGGCTCGCTGATGGGAAATGGAAAGATTTATATTCCTTGCAAACAGCTGGTCATTTGTATCTTTTTTAAAGGGTAGTTGAAGCACTTGGAGGTTTATCTGTGTCCTCAGGGTCACCTGAGTGGTGCTCATGGGTTCCTGTAGTCTGCAATTTTTCCTCTGGAAATCTTTTTCTACTCTACATCATTCAAAGGGTGTTCATCCCAAATTAGATAGCTAAAAGTCATGAAGTGTGAATACCAGTTACAAATCTTCCTGTGGATTTGTAATGCTGGGATATGTAGTAGAGTAACCTGAGTCGTTTATCTGTGTAGGTGATTCACAGTAAAGTAGACAAGATGATAAACTTCAAAGTAGAACTTCAGAAAAAATTGTCAAATGTCTACAGAGATTCTCAGTCATCCAGGTCATAGTTGTTCCAAAGGTGCTTTTTTTTTTTCTCCAGGAGGCAACTGGACTTGTTTTTTATTTGAAGATGTTTTGCTTCTCACCCAAGAAGCTTCTTCAGCTCTGACTGGATGGTGGGGGGAGAGGTCAATGTAAATTACCCGTATGTTATCCTGTATAGTCCAGCAACATGTCCACCTTATGCCTGCAGAACTCCCAGCATCTCCAAGCCTTTTCCCACACTATAAAAAAGATGTTGAGACTCTAGAAAAAGTGCAGAGAAGAGCAGCCAGGATGATGAGGGGGACTGGAGGCTAAAACATACTATGAACAGTTGCAGGAACTGGGCAAGGCTAATCTAGTGAAGATAGAACCAGGGGAGACATGATAGCAGTCTTCCAATATTTGAGGGGCTGCCACAGAGAGGAAGGGGTCAAGGTAGTCTCCAAAGCACCCAAAGGCCAGACAATAATGGATGGAAACTGAACAAGGAGAGATTCAACCTGGAAATAAGGAGAAATTTTCTGACAGAACAATCAACTAATGGGACAGCTTGCCTTCGAAGGATGTGGGAGCTTCATCACTGGAGGCTTTCAAGAAGAGACTGGACTGCCATTTGTCAGAAATGATGTAGGTCACAATCTCTTGCTTTGGGGGGGGGGGGGGGTTGGACTAGATGACCTATAAGGCCCCTTCCAACTCCAATTAACAATGTAATCTGTACCGACCGCTAGGGGCCGCCGGTGCGCTCCCTGGGAATCGCGGTTTTGTGCTTGTCCCCCTGCGGGCCCCCGTACTTTCTCCTGCGCATGCTCCATGCGAGCGGGAGGCGGAGGTGGCTGCCGAGCCGCCGAGGGAGGAAGATGTCGGGTCTCCAGGCGGTGCGGATCAGCATCGAGTCGGCCTGCGAGAAACATGTGCAGGAGGTCGGCCTCGACGGGAGCGAGACGTACCTGCAGCCGCTGTCCATGTCGCAGAACCTGGCCCGCCTGGCGCAGCGTATCGATTTCAGCCAAGGCAGCTCCGGTTCCGAAGAGGACGAGCCCGTCCCGGCCGGCGAGAGTCGTGAATGGCCCGGCGGGGACGAGGAAGAGGAGGAGGAAGGTGAGGAGAAGCAGGAGAAGCTTCCTCGAAGGGAGGAGGGTTGGGGAATGGGAGGACGTCCCTTGGCAAAGGAAGCTAAGCGGGATTGGGTCTGGTCGATACTTGGATGGGAGACCACCAGGAGATCTCAGCGCTGGGAAGTTTTTTTTTTGTTTTTGTTTTTAAAGAAACTTCCATAACTCTTCAAAAATAACGCATGGAGGTATTCAGTAAGGCTATCTCGGGCTTAAAAGCGTATTTCCCTGAGCTTGTTTAGGAATAGCCTCCCTAATTTCAATTAATTATAGGATTATTTTTTTAGCCACCCACCTCCCAGATGACCCTGGGTGGGTTTTATAAAGGAAACGACTGGGGGTAGGTTTAAATAGCAATGGCACTTAGACTTACATACCGCTTTACAGCCCTCTCTTAAGCAGTTTACAGAGTCAGCTTATTGCCCCCCATCAATTTTGGGTCCTCATTTTACTGACCTTGGAAGGCTGAGTCAACCCCTCAATTCTGGTTGTAAAGGGGCCAGAGTTGCTTACACTTTGGGCCTATATCTTAACCAAACAGTAGCAGAAAAATCAAAACTCTGTTTTCCTGCTGGATGTTCTAAAGGTGCCCATTAGCCTCCACTTTGAATCAGAAGGACTTTCCGTGGGGGAGAAGGGAATAATGCAAACTGACTTCCTGCCTGAGCAATAGCACTTAAGACTTATATACCGCTTTACAGAACTTCACAGCCCTCTCTAAGCAGTTTACAAAGTCAGCATATATTGCTTCCAACAATCTGGGTCCTCATTTTACCCACCTCAGAAGGATGGACGGCTGAGTCAACCTTCCTTGAGCATGGTGGGATTCGAACTGCCAAATTGCAGGCAGCGGTCAGTCAACAGAAGTAGCCTGCAGTATAACACTCTAACCACTGCGCCACTGTGGCTTTAATCCTGACCTGAGGATGGACAGTGTATGTTGCCTTTCAGAGTTCCTTTTTTGGAGGAACTGAGATTCTGCCAGGGTGGGTAGAAGTTGGACCCGAATTTGTGCTCGGAAGTCGGGGGAGAGAACTTCCATAACTCCACAAAAACATTGCATGAAGGCACTTAACAAGGCCATCTCAGGTTGAAACCAGATGTTCCATGATCTTGTTTAGGAGTAGCCTCCCTAATTTCAATTAATTATAGGATTATTATTTTTTTAGCCATTTGCTTGAATTCTGACTTGAGGATGGACAGCGTATGTTGCCTTTCAGAGCTACCCCAAGGGAGTCTTTTTTGGAGGAACTGGGATTCTGCAAGGATTGGTAGCAGCTGAACCTGAGTTTGTGCATGTGGATGGGAGACCACGAGGAGATCTCAACGCTCGGAAGTTGGGGGGAAAATCCTCTCCATAACTTTGTTCTTCTATTCTTGTTTTTCAGGCCTGATAAAATTCCAGCCTTCTCTCTGGCCTTGGGATTCAGTGAGGAATAACATAAGGAGTGCTTTGACGGAGATGTGTGTGCTTTATGATGTCCTCAGCATAGTCAGAGATAAAAAGTTTATGACTCTGGACCCAGTTGTACAAGAACCATTTACTCAAAAGCAGGTACGAGGCATAATTTCTCTTTCTTCTGTTCAAATATTTGTTCCAAGTTTTTCATCTTGGCTTGTAAAGAGTTACACTTTCCAAAGTATGGGTGAAATCCCCTCTTTGGGCTGTATGGATTTATTGGGTTGGTTTCTGTCCATTTTTTCCCCACTTCCCATATTCATGCATTGTCTCTATTGTTTTTGAAGGGGTGAGTCCTGGTTTTAAACACTTTTTATTTGTAATCACCCAGAGTCATCGGGACTCAGGCAGCATATAAATTTAAACGGTACTACTGTACTATAATTATTATGATACCAGTAAACAAGGATCCTCACTCCAGATACAGATCTGGCGGAAGATACAGAACAATTAAAACTCGGACCGCACGTTTTCTGAGCAGTTTTTATCCCAGAGCTGTAATTACACTTAACAATGAACTTAAGGACCACCATCAGTGAGCTGTTGAATAGTATTACTTGGTCTGTTGTTGGATACTTGTTTGTTTTTAGGGGGCTGGGAATTTTGGCGGGTGGGGTGTGTGTTTGGGGATTGTCGTATGTGTGCGTGTTGGGCCTGGTCTCTGGGTGTCATGTGAATTTCGTTGTATGGGTATAACTGTGTATATATGTACAATGACAATAAAGTAGTATTATATATGCTAAATCGAGGCTGGATGATTTTGTGATTTTCTGTTTGGGGGCAACAAATGCCACAGCCATTAGCCATGGTAGTTGCCTTTGATGGTCAAAAACACCTGGAGGCATCTGGTTTCATATTGCTGTATTAAATAAATTACGTCAGATTACTTCAGCCATTTGCATTCATGCAGAAATATCCTTTCAGTCTGTTATCCGACGGGGAAGATTGCATTTTAAATTGATTTGAGTTCTTTCTTCGTTTCTAGAACCCTCAAGTTTTGCAGCTGATGTCCAAGAAAAAGTCCTTAGCTGGAGCAGCCCAGATTCTTCTGAAAGGAGCAGAAAGGTTGTCTAAATCAGTTGCGGAAAACCAAGAAAATAAGCGGCAAAGAGATTTCAACTCAGAACTGCTCAGGCTGAGGCAGCACTGGAAGCTGAGGAAAGTGGGAGATAAAATCCTTGGAGATTTGAGCTACAAGAGTGCAGGTGAACCCCAGCAGGGCATAATTTGTGTGGCATTGTTTACGGTGCTGAACAATCATTTGGGTAACCAATTGGTCATTATTAGACAACCATTTCTTTGAAATGGTATGTAGGGTTTCCTGCCTGAGCAGGAGATTAGACTAGAAGACCTCCAAGTCCCTTCCAATTCTGTTATTCTGTATTATTCTGTATTATTATTCTGTGTTTTATATATATATAATACAGGTAGTGAGTATGTATGTATGTATGTATGTATGTATGTATGTATGTATGTATGTATGGTATTCAGCTTTCGGGTATTTTCCCACTTCATTATAGTTGTGCTTTTAAAGTTGTAGCAACGTTTCGGCAGAATCTCATCTGCCATCATCAGGCTTCTGTATAGTGTTCATCTGTAAGTCAGACTTTTACAGTGGTTTCAGTTTTAAATTTGGGGCTAGCCTATTGCTGTGCCAGAATGGTTTTTTCTTCATCCTGATTGATTGGGAGTCTTGGTCTGTGTTTATTGGTCTTGGAGTTTGCTGTGTTCTGCTTGATTGGTGTTTCTAATATCTTCTGTCTGTTTTGTGGCTTTTTTTGTGTCTTGATTGGCTGGCAACATTGTGTTCCTGTATTGGAGGCTTTTAGTGCAGCTTGGCTCCGACTAAATGGACGGCTATCATTTGTTAGGAAGCTAGGTTTCATCTGGGTGTGTTTGAGCTGGAGGTATCGGGGGATCTGTTTGTGCCCAGGTGTTTGCCTGGCTAGTGGTGTGGAGATTTTTTTGTGTGTGTGAGTGCAGGCTTCTAAATGATTGACAGTTTGGTGGAATCATCTCTTCTATTCATGCTTTCAGGTCTTTTTTCAATCTCTATGGCTTCTCTGATAATTCTGTGGCTGGGGTTTTCTATAGTGGCTAGGGTTTTGGTGAAATTGAAGTTGATGCTATGACCTGTGGCTTTCATGTGTTGGACTAGTGAGGAAGTGCGTTCCAGCTTTTTTACTGCATTTTTGTGTTCATCCAGGCGGGTACTTATTCTTCTATTGGTCTGTCCAATGTATGTGGCCGGGCATGATGCGCAGGGGACTTCATATATGCCTTGGTTTTCCAGAGTTTCTGAGGATGGCTGCTATTTTTCTGTCTGTTTTGAAGGCAGTCTTGATGTGATGCCTGTGTAGTATCTTACTGATTTTGTACTGACTTTGTCGCAAGGTCACAAAAAGTGATCACATGACCTGGGGAAACTGTCATAAATATGAGCCATTGCCAAGCGCCTGGATTGTGGTCACATGATCACGAGGATGCTGCAGTGGTCGTAAGTGTGAAAAACAGTCATGAGTCCCGTTTTTCAGTGCCTCTAACTCTAACTTCAAACGATCACTAAATGAACTGTTTTTAAGTCAGGGGCCGCCTGTACATATCAAAGATACTCTAACTGTTGATGGAGATAATGTGGGTACATGCATGCAAAAAAATTAGCTTTAAATTCAGCTTTATCGTTTAATATAAATGATGAAGAAAGTAGAAACCAATATGTTTTGCTCTGATTGGAGTGTTGCTCGATTAATATTTCCTCGTCCCTTTAGAGCAGGGGTGTCAAACTCAAGGTCCATGGGCCAGATCTGGTCTGCAGGGGTGTTTAGATCCGGCCTATGGGGGCCGCTCTGGAAACAGTGAAGGACCAACCCGCAGTGCCTCTGCCAGTGAAAATGGAGCTTGTGGGAGCCATGCATGGCCCTCCTGAGCTCCGTTTTCACTGGCAAAGGGTTGCAGGAGGCTGTTGCAGCCGAAAATGGAGCTCAGGAGCCCGTTTTCGCTGGCAGACAACTCAGGCCACCACAGGCGCCCCCCAACATGAGTGACATTGAGCTGTGGCCATGCCCACCCTGGCCACACACACCCC